ATAAATTTGTAAAAATTGACACAATGCCCTTCCTAAAATTAATAAAATGGCTCCTCTACCCCTGAATCCACTATATTTATTTTATTTTTTGCGTATAATTTCTAAATATATAAAACAACCTCACAAAATTTAAAAATTATCTCCATAAAATTATCTATTTCTAAAAATGTCTTTAATTTTTTATTCATTTTCCTTCTTATTCTCAAATTTCTTTTTGTCATCTTCAAAACTTTTGCATTCTCTTTCTACAATTAAAACCTATGATTTCCTTCAAAATTCTCCCATTTTTTTTTTCTTTTTAGGGCAAAGTCTAAAAAAACCCCTCTGACTTTCACGCTTTTCTACTAAACCCCCCCTTGACTATTTTTATTCCAAAAAATCCCTCAAAGGGGGTAAAATATTCAACGATATGTTAACTAAGAATGCAAAATGACTAAAGTATCCATTAAGCAAAATTTGTGAATTGCCATCATCCATTGTGTCGAGCAAAAACCATTTTTTCTCCTTTTCAATTTTGAGTTTGTTGGTGGAAAAAAATTCTGAGATTGCTCTTTTTTATCTTTCCTTTCTCTAATTGGGCTAGGGTTCATAATCATCTCATATAACTAAAGAAATTGTTGACTGGTCTATGTTCGCAACTTCCAGATAAATTATCTCTGGACTTTATTCTCAGAGTGTTTTGCTCTCTCTTGATCAATATTTTTTTAGAATTTTTTCTGTATGTTTGATGTGGCCTTTTTTTCTTTTCTTTTTCCCTTTGGTTTGGGGTATACCCTGTTTTTTTTATACTATAAATAGAATACTCACAAATTCAATTTTTTGTTTCCCGTATGTCTTCGTTTAGATGATAGAAACAAAATATGGATTACTGATTTTGTTTCCAATTTTTTTTATTTTTTATTATTACTCATTTTTCTTCTCATTTTTCTTCAGTCTCATTCAATTTCATAGGAAACCAAACCAATGTGAGCAAATCACACCCATATAACTATTTTTTAATTTCGTATTCAATATGTATCTATATAAGCTTGTTAAACTCATTAATGTATTAGATCTATAGTTTTATTCTATTTAATTGCTTCAAACACCACCAAATGATCTTCATGATAATGGGTTTTGACTTTTGTGCACTGAGTTGTGTGTGTGTGTGTTTTATTATTTTTTATTTTTTTATTTTTTCATGTACTAAGTTGTGTTGGGTGTATGTGATTTGTTGCAAAGGCTAGGGTTCATCTTTCTATACACTGTATGAAAGATCTTTTCCATGTAGAACAATATTTCAATTGGTATTAGGGTATTGTTGTCTCAAAAATATTTGGGAAACAATTAATGTACACTTTGGCCTTCTCAGTTAATGTCTAGTTGATTCTGTTACCCTCCTCTGATAGTTGAGGGGGATTTTTTGGAATAAAAATAATCAAGGGAGGTTTAGTGAAAAAGAGTGACAGTTAGAGAGGGTTTATTGGACTTTGACCTTATTTTTATTTCATTTTCTTCTTAAAAAATTCTTTTTTCTTCTTAAAGATTTCTTTTTCGTGCACTAATGCATAATTTATGTACAATAACATTCTTTTTCTTTTTTCTCTTTTTATTCATTTTTTATTCACTTATTCTAATGCATTGTTGTTACACTATTATATTTTCGACCTGCTTGAAAAAAAAAAAAAATTTATCAGTGCTAACATGCCTCCCCGAACCAAATTCCTGACTCCGCCCCTATTTGGAAGCCCCTTTATTTTTTACCTTCCACTAAACCAAGTTAAGGAACTCCCTTCATTATCTTCAAAACGTCATCTTCTTAAAGGCTATCTGTTGTTAGCCTTCCCATCCCATCAAGAAAATATTTAATATTTCAGGGGTATGTTACTCAGGTTATCATCCCAGTTCTTGAATGTGGTGAGGCCCACACAATATGTTCTTTAGGAAAAGGAAATGTGATATGTCTCTTCAGAACAAAATTAATAAAGATAATTTAGTTTTAAAAGTATTATTTGTCTATTTTGATGTATATAAAATAATTAAAAATTACTAAATATATATATAGATAAAGAAATATAGATATTTTTTTCCTAATTGGTACTCACATACACTTATTTTTTTTATGAGATTTGAACTCCTGACATCCCTTTAAGAGGTAAGAGGTTGATACCGTTAAATTAGTAGTCCGTTAGTTAGATATAAATGATAGATAGACATATTGAAGAAATTCATACACTAAGTTGTATATTATAAGTATTAGCATAATAGAATTAATTGTTAAAAATCTACATTAAGTTGGATATTTAGTTATTTAACTTTTTGTATTTCAATTATTTGAAAATAAATTATAAAAATGTATAAAAATATTAAAAAATCTTACACTTTTAATTATATATTGAAAATGGCAAAAAAAAAAAAAAAAAAATTACATATACAAATTAAAAACGAAGAGTTGTTAAATATTACATTTAATTAATTAGAAAGTTCTTTTAGCTTAAAAAGGTAGTTATTTGTCTTAAAAAGGTTATGTTGGTTGTAAAGGATTTATTGCCCTGTTTGGGGGAGCTTCCTAGTTCTAAAATTCTTTTTATTTGAATGCGTTTGCAAAATGCCTTTTAATGAAAGGGATTAAAACGATAGAAATTGTTTGATGGATGCAATTTTTTAAACTCCTTCGACAATTAACGTAGTTTTAACTTGGCACTTATATCCTTAATAATTACTGTTAATATTTTCTCTCCAAAAACATCAAAAGCTCCTATTGTCAACAATATAAACCTATAAATGAAACAACAACAATTGCAAATCATGTCTAACAGTTACTTTCATGCATTCAATCTAAAACAAACTATTGTTGGATTTCCCGCATAATTTTTTAAAAAATAAAAAATTGAAGAGCTACCTATCAAAAATTCTGAGAACTTGTTGGGAAAAAAGTATTATAATATTCAAATTTGAATGGGAGTAGAAGACTTCAAAGAAAACTTGTTCAAATAGAAACCTACTATAGTATTGGAATTTGAATGGGAATAGAAGACTCCAAGCATTCACGTTCATTTATAGATCACTGGCAAAGCTAGTTTCACGAAGTAATAGGAAGCAAAATTGTACATAAATTTGTTATTTAAATCACGGCAGCAGTAAAAATCACCGGCAATAGAATATACTTGCCGGCATCCCTCGCCATTAATGGAGTTTTCTTCTTCTCTCTTTTGTTGATTTTCTTTGTATCCCATAGCAGCTATGAAAGGAAAAATAAGGGTTGCAATTCGATAGAATATTAAGGTTAATATTGAAAATCTAGTTTAATATTTCAGGACAATTTTGTAAACCGAGTTTTATATACGGCTAGTTTCCCGAGAATATGATTTTGAAAGCCTCTTTCTCTAGCTTCAGCTTAACGGGCTTTTAAAGACTTCCACTTCTCTCATAAGCCCGTTCTAATTATTTACCAAACACTCATTATTTTTTTGGAATGCCTTTTTAGGCCAGGAAGTCTGTTTCAGAGCTTCAGAAAGCCTTGCCAAACAGGCACTTCTTTTGATTTGAAGTAGATCAACTTTTGTATTGGGCTTTACTTTGACTTCTCTTCTGCTGATCTGAAGCAAATCAACTATTGTATTGGGCTTAACTTTGTTTCCCATGGGTTGGGCTTCACACCTTCATTTCCCGTAAGACCAATGGTTTATCCTATAATATATGGACCACGTAACCTTTTTTTTTTTTTTTTTTTATAACAAAAAACTCATGCATCATTTGTAACTACCCTTTTAAAGGGTTGATGTGATACCATTAGGCTCCACTGCTATGAATGGCCATGTTCATTTTTTATACATTAAAATGTATTTAAAATCTTTATAAACAATATAATTTTTATTACTACATATAGTGAATAATAACATAAAATTTAAAATAATAAAATAAAAAGGATAAGGATAAGAAAATATTTAATTTTTAAGACATGGATAAAAAAATAGTTGATGGTAATAAAAGAATAAGATAACGGGTGTTTATATCGGCGGTTCACTCGCCTATTTTAATAAAAATGACATTACATAAAAACCCTCAATCACACCAAGCACTTTTTAATATCATATTTGACCTTCCATATTAGCATAGGACTCTTCACACACACACATTCTTCCTCTCCCTGTTGAACAGAGAACACACCCCTCATAACCCACTCTTTCACTTTGTCTGCGTCTCTCGAATCTCCTCTATAGGTTTATATCAAATATAGGACGTCCATATCAGTGCACATCAGCACTTTTACGAATTTCTGTTTTCTTTTCTTCTTTTTTTCTAAGGCCGACGCCGACCAATTGGGGAAGAGGGAAGATAAATTTTGGCGAATTTCAACTTAGCTTTCAATCTGTTGAAATTAATCAATGTTCACTGGCCTAATTGAATAAAATTGAAATTACATAAAAACCCTCAATCACATTAAGCACTTTTTAATACCATATCTGACCTTCCATATTAGCATAATACCATATCTGACCTTCCATATTAGCATAAGAACACACACCCGTCTCTCCTATAGGTTTATAACAATATAGCACTGTGGAGGGAAAATCCTCTCCAACCAATAAGAAGATGACACGTCATCGCGAGAAGGGTCCACAGCAAATATAAAGACTATTCAACTCTCAACTGGGCTTCAATCAGGAGTTTGGACCAGCCCAACCAGGCTTAAGAAGCTGAACCCATTAAGGGGATCCGGAATAATTATTTTCCAGGCCCAAATTACCAATGAGTCCATTTTTAGTAGTACTTCTACGAGAAGAAGGATTATTACTTAAAGGAAACAAATCACGAGTACATGAGTGGAAATAATAGTTAAATCCATTAAATTGGTTTCATGAAATTCATTGAAAACAGGCTATTTCTAGTTTTATCTTATGTTCTCCACGAATTCAAGAAAAAATAAAAGTAGACATATATCTGTGACGTCAGGTCAAGTGTTTCCAATGGTCTGGAATGAAGTCCACTAATCTGATCAACAAAACAAGAGAAGAAGGTTAAAAAAAAAAAAAAAAACAAATGTATCTCATTCAAAATTCTTAGAAACCAATTAAACAAATTTGCAGTTTGTATACAACAACAATATTATAGACAACATAACGTAATGATACATATTAAAAATAAAACTGCTTCCTCTATCCACTTGATCCAGAGCAACGAACATATAATGTTGGCTGAAAATGCCACCTCCATATGTAGATTTGATCATATTCCAAGCAGAGGAAATTGCTAGGATGCCATCAAGATCACATGTGCAATAGTAAAACACTTGCATGAGCAAGAATCCATGCTTTCTTCAGTCCAAAAAGACAGTAAATCCGAAGTCCATCATGGTAATCTTTACTCCGAATAAGGTGAAGAGAAAATCAATTTTTAGACAAAGTAGATGAAAAAAGAAGTGCATATAATATAAAATCAGTTTCGGTATAACGCAAAAGGTGAGGATGGACAAGAACATCTATATAAAAAAAGTAGATGAAAAAATCAATTTCGGAACACCTATATAAAAGAAGTAGATAAAAAAAAGGAGTTGGGCTAAAGTGACAAGTATAAAAACAATAGTGCAATGAAAAAAGAGCAAATATGTGAGGATGAACAATAACATCAAATATGTAAGGATGGACAAGAACACAAATAAAGCATCAACCATGCGAATATCAAATATGTTCAAATATGTTAATTGGTGCTCGCTAAGCAGCTTTGAGGGTCTCCCAAACAACGTTAGGATCAGGATCAGCCCGCAGCGGTTCTAGTGCTCCTAGAAGTGTCTCCTCGAGGAGTCTCGAGGAGTGGGACATCCGAATCCTAATTCTTCTGTAGAGCTTCTGGCTTGGCGTCCGAATTCTTCTGGGCCTCCCCTGAGCTCTTTCCTAGAGAGCCTCTCTTTCTTAAAAAGGTGGGATTGGTTTGGGAATTTTTTTCAGATCTCCAGCATTGGTTTGGGATTTTTTTTTTACGTCTCCAGCATTGTGACTGATTCTGAGGTGACAGAATTCCATTTACACAATGGTATCATATCTGAACCAAAATCAGTTTGATGGTATATTCATCCCATACCATACTCGATATATACATTTAATTGTACAGAGAAGCAACAGTTGAGTAATCTTTCATCGTGGCAATAAACCCTATCAGTTTACTCAACGTAAACTGAACAATGGAGGGCAGGGGTCGTATTCGGACCATTGGATGGAATAAAGTGGTAGCAGTGTGAGAGTAAAATGGAACTACTGTATAAATAGCACAGACAGCTGATAGTGGGTTTAGATAGAGAACAGTAGCAACACAAGTACCTTTTGAAGACGAGCAAGTACCGGATCAAACCAATGACCTGTTGTCCCTCGCAACTGAAGCCAAGATCCAACAGGTCGCAACCAGATCTGGTTATACAAGTACCTCTTGGGAGGTTATCATGGTATATTGATCTTGATCTGCTCCTGGGTTAGGCGCAGATCAAGATCCGATTGCACTGTAAATCAAATACCAAATCACCAGTTCAAGCTTCGACTCCTATCGCCTCTCTTTTCCCTTTGAACGCTTTTCTAGATGTAGCCGTCAAAAATAATATGTTAGGGTTACTGAGATAGATTGGAAAAAGGAACCCTGCAGAGAGAGAACCGAAGAGAGAGATGGTGAAAGAGAGGAAGTTGCTGCTTTGGAGTCAAGGGATAGCACTTATTAAATAGAAAAAACAAAAGGGAAATGGTTGGCATCTCTCCCATATATAATATAATTATTATTTATAATTTTATTATACAATTTTATTTTTATTATTGACAAAATATGCACCGATATCACTGACACACCCTATTTCGTTCCTTTGGAGTTTCAAACCGTTGCAAAGTCCTTTGTTTTTATTACGTAGCATTAAACAAGATGGCTTGAGGCTTAATTAATTTTTTATTTTCTACTGAAATTTAATTAAGAGAGATGTATAAATATTTTATTCTCTAATCTTAAATTATAATTATAGTTTTTTCATATATGAGAAGTGCCATTATGTGTGATGATTTATATATATATATATATATATAAATTATAGTACCATTATAAAATGAGGTTGTATATTTTGAACTACTTATTATTATCATTATTTTCAAAATTGGTATACATTTGTACTATAAATATGCACGCATCCTTAACCAAAAACTTCAAAAGATGGTACAAAATTTCAATCAGACCATTAAGTTTTCAAAACTTATATTAGCAACTCATAATTTTTTTTTTTAAAAAAAACAAACACCATGTAGCCCAATGGCAAAAAGTGCATGTAAGTGTATATTTATTGCCAATGTAAAAAAAAAATAATAATAATAATAATAATAAATAAAAATTGATAAAAATAAATAAATAAAAATAATAAAAGGTACAAGCATAACCATTTTCATTTGAATTTAAAAATAAATATAATCGCCAGTGTTACTTTCTTCAATAAAACTTGATTATATTCTTTAACGAGAGAAAAAAGAAAGAAAGAAAATCACAGCTTGATTATGTGAAAAAATTAAAAATTTAAATTGCTTAACTCAAGTTAAATTAATAAAGTAGACTTAAACATGAATAACATTGGACAATTAACTTTGTGTGGTTCTCCACTTTTATTCCTTCAATAATACTTTGTTATAACATTTAAAAAATAAATAAAGAACATAAAGAAAATTACGACTTAATCATATGGAAAAATAAAAAATGTTTAATTCAAATTAAATTAGTAAAGTAGAATTAAATATGAATGTCTTGTTTATATCCTGAATTTATATTTACCATATTTTCTAAATTTTTATTATATCTAATTGTGTAAGCGAGGAGAGTCATTATTGTGAGAATTTCATTTATAAATCTATCTTAAAAAGGAGACTTATTGTGCGCTAACAGATCTGTACTTTTATCTAGAGAGAGATATAATCCAAGGGTTGGTATGACCTTAAAGGAAGTCTTGGAGAAGGTTGTTCTATAAGCATTTGAGGAGAAGTGTGTTTCTTGTTCCAATTTGCTCTCCACCCGAAAAGGAGAAGCCTAGTGGATTTATTTTATGCTCATTGTTTGCAATTTTTCAAATTTTTATCTATTTATTTTATGCTCATTGTTTAAATTCTTTTCTAGCATCAAATTGTATGATTTCTTTCACTTAGATTTTAATTGAATCGATTAAATTCCATTATTTGCCAAAGATCCTATTCACTCCCCCTTTAGGATCAATTATTGGGTAACAATATATATGTATCAATCCACTTGGAATGTGTAAAAAAACAAAAGATTTGGCAGTTTATTTTTCACGGGTTTCAGATTGGGTTTGAGTTGAACCTGAGACCAACCCGAACAAGACTTACTTTTAAGATAACCCAACTCGATTTGAACCTGATTTATGAATTTAGAAACTCAAGTTTCAAAAATTTCGAGATGGACTTGAGTTGGGCCACCCAAATTGCAACCCTAATATGACTAATTCCAAAATTGGGTCATAGCATTTGGAAGCCCCCTTTCTTTTTTACCTTTCAGCAAACCAGGTTTAGGAATTCATTATCTTCAAATCTTCTTAATGGCTATCTATTGTTAACCTTCCCATCAAGAAAATATTAAATATTTCCTAGGTATGGTACTCTGGTTATCCCAGTTCTTGAATGTGGTGAGGCCCACACAATGTGTTCTTTAGAAAAAGGAAAAAGAAAAGTGACATGTCCTAACAAAATTAATAAAGATAACTTATTTTTAAAAGTATTATTTGTCTAATTTTTTTTTTCCTTGATATTCATACACACATGCCTCCACCGAGGCTCGAACTCCTAACTTTTTTTAAAAAAATAGATATTGATATAGATAGACAGACATATAAAAGAAATCCATACACTATGTTGGATATTATAAGTATTAGCATAATAGAATTAATTGTTAAAAATCTACATTAAGTTGGACATTTAGTTATTTAACTTTTTGTATTTCAATTATTTGAAAATAAATTTAAAAAATGTATAAAAAAATTCAAATGATCCTTACATTTTTTATTACATATTAAAAATGGCAAAAAAAAATATAAAAAATAAAAAAATTACATATACAAATTGAGAACGAAGAGTTGTAAAATATTATATTTTAATTAATTAGAAAGTTAGTTTAACTTAAATAGGTAATTATTAGTGTCAGAAGTAGAAGAGGTTTTTGAATTTTTAAAAATAACTCACTTGACATTCAACTTTATGCTCCATTTTGTGTGAAGAAGAAAATTGAATGGAAGGAAATAAAAAAATAAAAAAATAAAAAAAAAATAGAATGAGACATCACAAAAATTGTGTCCTTCACTAATTTTTTGTCTGTCTTGTTGGATGGAAGAGAAGGGGATGAAATAATGTCTCATTTTGTTTGTTAAGAGGGTATAAATTACAAGGAAAGTTTGTAGAGTATAAATTATAAGAAAACTTTTGTAATTTGAAAAATTTTACATATTTGAAGGGATGAAAATTTATGTTTAGATAAAAATTTCTCTCTTCCTTCCTAGCTTCCCTCTTTGGCTCTTTCCTACCAAAAGGTGCATTAATGTATTAAATGTTTTTAAAAATGCAAACTCTTACTCATTGAACTTTAGGGTGTGTTTGGATAAATAGGGGAGAAATGAAATGATAGTATTAATTAAGAGAAAAAAGAAAAGAAATGATAGTAATAATTTCTATTCGTGTTTGGATAGATAGGGGAGAAAAGAAAAGATAATTATTCTTGTTTGGATAAGATAGAGGAGAGAAAAGAAAAGAAATGATAATGACCAAATTACTGTCTTACCCTTTATAATAGTCATCACCTTACACCTTTTTCTTTTTTCTTTTAAAATTGAAAGTAAAGTTAAATGTCTTACCAATCTGCATGGGTTAAATGTCTCTATCTAAATTTCGCATTCCTATAGTAAAGTGATAATCAACTACTCTTTTTTTTTATTTTTTATTTTTTTTTATTTATAAGGCCTGTCCACAAACAACAAAAAGCAAAATAAATAAGAGCTTTGAATAGACTTGAATGCATAGCTCAAGTTAACAATTTGGTGTGTACATAATGCTTAACAGAGACCAAGACTACTCAACAATTGAGACATAAATGGAATTACATAATTGGGACATAAATGAAATTATATTTTTGTATGTAGATTTGTGAAGGATATTTTGAGTATTAAAAATGTATAATTTACTATCTCTCCCTATCTTCTCAATTTAGGAGACAAAGTATATAAGGGATAGAGAGGGATGTTATTCCTCCCTATCCTCTCTTTTCTCTCTACTTAAATTACCCGAACACACTTTCACACTATTCTCTCTTTTCTTTTCTTTCCCTATTCCTCCAAATCAACCCTACCAAACACACCCTTAAGATCAACAAAGTACAGGAGGAGTACATGAGCGGAAATAATAATTAAATCCATTAAATCAGGCTATTTCTAGTTTTATCTTATAAATACTATTGAGGAAATTAAAACTTGGAACAAATAAAAGTAGACACATCTTTATGTGTAATGATTCAGGTCAAGTGTTTCCAATTGTCTGCCATGAAGTCTTCTAGTTTGATCAACAAAACAAGGGAAGAAGATATATAATTCCATAACAAATGTATCTTCTTCAAAATTCAACCCATTAGAAACCAATTAAACAAATTTACAGTTTGTATACAACAACAATATTATAGACAACATATTGTAATGATACATATTAAAAATAAACCGTTTCTTCAATCTACTTGTTCCCGAGCCAGAAACATAGAATGTTGCTGAAAATGCGAACTCCACATGTAGATTTGATCATATTTCAAACGGAGGAAATTGCTAGGATGCAATCAAGATCGCAGGTGCAATAATAAAACACTTGCATGAGCAAGAATTCATGCTTTCTTCGGTCCAAAAACAGAGTAAATCCGAAGTCCATCATGACAGATACTTTAGAATCGAATGGATTAAAAGAACAAATAATAATCTTTGCGCGTTGCAAAGAAAATCAATTTTTGTATAAGGATAGACAAGTACATAAATAGGGTGAGGATGAATAAAAACAATATGTGAGAATAGACAAGAACATCAGATGAGAAAGTAGATAGAAAGCCTATATAAAAATAAAAACAGATAAAAACAGATCACGCACATCTGATATAACGAAAATTATAAACATTTAATTGTACAGAGAAACAACAGTTGAGTAATCTTTCATCGTGGTAATAAACCTATCAGTTTAGTAAACTCAAAAATGGAGGGCAGAGTTCGAATTCGGACCATTGGATGGAATAAAGTGGTAGCAGTGTGAGAGAAAAATGGAACTACTATATTAATAGCACAAACAGCTGATAGTGGGTTTAGAGAGAGAACAGTAGCAACACAAGTACCTTCTGAAGACGAGCAAGTACCGGATCGAACCATTGACCTGTTGTCCCTCGCAACTGAAGCCAAGATCCAACGGGTCGCAAGCGGATCTGGTAATACAAGTACCTCTTGGGAGGTAATCATGGTATATTGATTGATTCTCTCACCTGGGTTAGGCGCAGATCAAGATCCGATTGCACTGTAAATCAAATACCAAATCACCAGTTCAAGCTTCGACTCCTATCGCCTCTCTTTTCCCTTTGAACGATTTTCTAGATCTAGCCGTCAAAAATAATATGCTAGGATTACCGAGATAGATAGGAAAAAGGAACCCTGCAGAGAGAGAACCGAAGACAGAGAG